CCCCGGCGGGGTAACGGGGCATCGCCGCTCCGCCCGAGCGCTCCTCCCCGCGCGGGCGCCGCGTCCCCCGGCGCCCCGGTGAGCCGGCGGGCCGGCCGAGAGGACGGCGGTTTCACGCCAGACACCGTCTGCCCCTTCCCCTTAGCGCGACGGAGGAAAGAAAACCCCGCAACGCCGCTCGGCAGAACGTGACACCCGCGTCTTTTCCCTCGCAACCTCCGCGGCATCGCCGTAACGCAGCTCGTCCCGACCCCTTTAACTTTATTTTGGGGTTTTGTGGGGGGGATTGGGGTTTGGGTTTTTTTCTTTTTTTTTTTTTCCCCTTCGGATCCCACGTACCCTGACACGGTAACACAACCTCTGTGCTATAGTGGGAGCACCACTAAAGAGGTAACCGATCTAAGTACGCAGTTGTTTATTTATTTCCCGCTGAATATAGCTACCGGGCAGCGGAACGGGGACTTTTGAGTTCATCTCCTGGTGAAAATGGCCAAAGACACTCGGACAGGCGAAGGGACGGAGAGATAAAAAAAGAAAACACGTTAAAATAGACAGATGAATGCCCGGCCAGGCAATTCCTCCTCTGCGAACACACGCACAGTGTATGTACGCTCACATTCGAGCTGGCCACCGAGTACGGACATGGGGACGCAGACCTGTGCACAACTCTGTAAAGGATTAATTGCCCCTCACCTCCTCACACACACTTTTTCATGTTGCCACATGCACACCCCCTTCTGCCGCAGGAATAATATATGTGGCTAAAGCCGCAGGTGCTGAGATGACTGGAAAGTTGTAAAAAGCACCTAGACTTGACAATGTCCTGCTTCGAAACCTGGTGTGTTAAGACCCCACGAACGAAGATGTACTGCGGCTCAATTTCAAAGGCAAGGCTGCGGCACTCCCATTGATCCTGACGGAGCAAAAATAACCTTTCCCTGAAACAGGGACCAGGAGGGACTGGAAAGGCAGAAGAGGGGAAAGGAGTCTTTCCCCGTTAAAATGTGGGGAACTGCCTTATGATTTCCAAATAACCCAGAGGCGAGGAGGTCACCTTTTGGGGAGGGTGGGAGAAGGTGGGGGTTCAAAATGCAGAATAGTCACAGATTGTTGCTGATGCTGAATTTCCTGAGGAAAAAAAAAAAACAAACAAAAAACCCAACCAAAAAAAACCCCCAAACAAAAACCCAACCCAACACCAACCTTTCCTGTCTCAAATCTGACAAAGTAAACAGGATTAATTCACCACATGAAAAAACATTAATGCCGTCTTAACAAATGCAGAAATCAGAAGAGAAAGCGGTTTTAACAGGACGTACGATATTAATAGTTTGAACGTATGATCGTAAAAATGAAAAGCCATTGATATACGCTTAAAAGCCGCCGTATACGCTGATTGCTCAAGCATTAATGAAGAATGCCCCAGATTAACTATTTGCTCTTCGAGGGATGCAGCAATATAACTATCTATTAGCACCATTAGATGCTTTGCTGTTTATTTGAAAACACCCCTGCGAGTGGGTTGAGGCAGAACAGATGAATGTAAAAATGAACTGCATCTAATTTCGCTAAATAATACTCGAAACCTGAGCGCCTCACAAAGAAGGGGGAGATTCTCAACTGTCCTTCTCCGAGCCTAATGACAATGGAAATGCTCTGTTTTAAAACTAAGACCGCATTGGTTTTCCAAATAAACAAACGCATCCCTCCTGCCATTTTACTGCAGATGTAAATTTATTTTAATGAGAGGGAGTGGAAGGATTTATTTTGCTAAAATAGAGTAGGGGATAGAGCCGGTGTAAATCTTTAGGTTTTAAAAAAGAGGAGGAAGGAGGGGGAAGCTGCTTTCCTGGCAGAAAGCTGCCTAACAGTCCTCTAATTCTTTCTAGATTAAATCGCAATATGAATACAGCATCGAACAAATACTGAGTTTCGCTCTGAACTCAGTGGAAAGCAGTTACGTCTAACAGAATTCAATGAATTCCTCTTCTCCCTCAATGTAGTATGTGTGTGTTTTTCTCTTCCACCACACTGAAGTTCCATGAATAGGGAAAGTGGCTCCTATTGTGTGCCTCTGAACTTCCAAGTCAATGCAATTTTTAACCACTGGCTTGTGGTACTTTGAAAATCACCAGGGGCTGTCAGAGTTGGGTCCTCTGAAAAATTTACAGTGCTAAATCAGAGCATATGCTGTGAGAGAGGAAAAAAAATTGCTGAAGATTGGAGCAAGTACAGTATCTGGCTGCCCCCTAGTGTAAGTCTCTTATCTGCCTAAAATTCAACTTTAAAAGAAAAGGATCTCTTAAAGGGAAACGACTTTTGGCTCACGTATGCATACGAGAATGAAACTTCTGTACATTTTAATCTGATTAATTCCTAAGGATTTAAAGTTAATTGGCTTGGGCACTCCTAGACCGGACTATAAGATTTCTGCATCAGGGTTTCTGCGAGCGCTGTACCGAATAGGTATTTTTAAGGGATAGTGGTGGTAAGGGAATGGGGGGGGGGGATCCTGTTTTGTGATTTTTTTTTTTTTTAAACGAGGAACCGTGCCTCGCATGCTGTTGTCAGAGCAAAACACTTTTGCTGCTTAAAGTCAGATCTACGTCCTTTGCAATAATACTTTAAAAAAAAAAAAAAAGAGGATAAATAATTGCCTTAAAGCCTCAGCCGAACTGCCAACCACACCTTCGGATGGTGAGTATATTCCAGCTTCTTTCCATTGTACTTGCTTAGCCAGAGAAGGGACCGGAGGGGGAGAGGGGATCTCGGCGCTATACCTTCACCACCGACCTCTTTTTTTTTTTTTTTTCCTTCCCCCCCACCCCTAAATAAACGCTGCCAGCTGCACACGGCGACACAATTCCGTGCAGTTTAATACCTATCACTTAAGTTAAGAGACTTGTCCTCCCCTCCCCACCCTCCCGAGCAGGTCAGCCTGCCGCTCCCCCCCCAGCAGCCTGAGACCCAGGCAGGGGAGGCAGCGCCCGGGCTCTGCCTCCTGGACGCTGCTTTGGAAATGACTTTGAGGCGCTTTGCCTTTGCCTCGGACCTGGAAGCCGATTCCGGTCGTTGGGTTTGGTCGCTTGTTTGTTTGTTTGCTGCTTGCTTTATTTAGCTAAAGGACGTGCTAACTGATGGTGCTGCAATTACACATACTTGGGTCTCCCCCCCTCCCCTCTTCCCCTCCTTAGAGCAACCCACGTAACCTTAGAAACGATCGTTTAAGACGTACGTTAGCTAACATTTGCTTTTTTGGATTTTTTGTTTTCCTTAAAAGAGAAACACAAGAATCACAACACATTGCCCGAAAAAAGTGTCAAAGAAGAAGGAAAAAAACTATAAGTAAACATACCAAAACCATATTTGCCTTGTTCAAGGTCCCAAATCGCTTGCATCTTCCTTTTTCTACCTCTCCTTTAGTTTGGCAGGTGAAACAAACAAACAAAAAAAAATAATCAGACCGCTGTTTGCCCCCCAGAAAGATGTGCGTTGGGTAATTAAAGAGAAGTCTCCTTCTTGGTGTTTATCTAAGCGATTGTGCAAACTGATAAAAAAAAAAAAAAGAGGCAAAAAAAAAAAAGGGAAGTTACAGCCTTCAGGGGGAAAAAAAAGGAGGCAAGGTGAAGGGAATAGATTTCCCACAACCTAAAGGGAAGTGCTTTCGATGTATTATTAGCGATCAGCCTTGGGAGAGAGGAAAAAAAAAAATCCTGAA